CAAATCCTAATAGACTTCTAGAAATCCAAACCTGAATTGAATAAAGAAAACTGAAATTCTTTCCTAATCCCTTTAGGACAAGAATTGGTATACCTCTAATTTTCCTAAAACAATCCTAAACCAACTAGGACATATTTGACGAGCCAAAATCCTAACAAATGTGATATTACTGTTATGGGGTTGCGTAGAGGGCAACTCAAACGAGATTAAGCTTCAAAGCAAATGTTAGTTTCAGAAATGGCTTGTTGTGTATATATATATATATATATTCTCCTGTGGACGTCCGGACGTTATTACTACACAAACGCCATAGTAAACGGGGAGGAAAGCAGGTAGGGGTAGTAGAAAATACATGGCGTCCACACGATAATAATGTCCGGATGTCCACATAGGAGAACATCTGATACATATATATATATATTGTATGTTATGTTTATCCCACTTTGGCTATATGTGATCTCAGATGCATGTCACTGCTGGTTGGCTAGTCAACCATTACGTTTATCAGTTCTTGATTTAATATGTTTAGAGAAATTTGGAATTGGTAAAAAATTGTTCATGTTAGTTGCTTATTAACTTGTACTTCAAATGTAGCAAACTCCTTTATGTTAGCAAGCTCCTTTATGTCACTGGTACAAGGGTATACAGGTTTTAATAACAATGTAATTAAGAATTACTTGGCTTTCTGACAACAAATGTATGCTGGTATTTGTACACAAGATTGTAATCCCTAAAATTTCAGTACTTTGATTCTCACAATAAAGTTATTTATTTCCTGAACATTAATCTAATATTGATGTGCACGAGAAGTAATAGTGTGGAATTGGTAATTATTTGCATGAGAGTGTTTTAAGTTAATACCAGCATCTGCCATATGTGATATAGATGTGTGAAAAAATCATATATGATAATACAGATTGAAATACATCTACTAAATATTTTACATTTGTTCTCATTTTCAGAAGCATGTGCTAGAGAGACGTTTAGTTTCTCATGTACTTTCTATCCTTAGTTTCTCCTGGTTTAGTCTTTTGAAGAAGGAGGTGTAATTGTTTTCCATCTACGTGTTTGTTGTTTAGATAAAGGATAGGCACAATGGAAATCTCTTAATGGACGAAGAGGGTCATATTATACATATTGATTTTGGCTTCATGCTCTCCAATTCACCTGGGGGTGTAAATTTTGAGAGTGCTCCATTCAAATTAACACGTGAACTTCTTGAGGTAAGAGATGGAGGCTGGCTTTGTTTATCTTTCTTGCCATATTGTGTGCAACAGTCTTTCTTGCTGCTTGTATTTAACATTTTAGGGTGAATCATTTTGCCTTTTAAGTTTTAAATGTGGAATTGAATGGACTATTCTGATTATGCTAGGTCATGGACTCTGATGCTGAGGGAGTTCCGAGCGAGTTCTTTGATTATTTTAAGGTAACAAGAGAAAACACTTGTGTATTTTTTAAATTTTTGTAAAGATGTATGTCTTTAGATGTCTTGTAAATCTCTTTTGTTGTCTTCAGGTTTTGTGCATTCAAGGATTCCTTACATGTCGGAAGCATGCGGAGCGCATTATTCTTCTTGTTGAGATGTTGCACAAATCGAGCCAACATATATATATATATATATATATATATATATTTTTTTTTTATGACCGTTGGATATAATGTTAAGCGTATTTGTGGCCCAAATATTCCTGTTGTAGCGAGATGGCCAGTTTCAGTTATGGTCTCATAGTTTTGGTCTGGATGTTCAGTGCAGAACTCTTTTTTTGGACCGGCCCCTAATGACTCTTATTGGACATAATGTTTGGGCGCAGCCTTCTTATGTTAGGTGCTAGGACGGTTTAGTAATCCCCTAGCTCTCCTCCCCCTGATCTCTCTCTCTCTCTCTCTCTCTCTCTCAACTTTTGGAGAGAGAATATTCCCTAGTTCTAATTTTGGACCCATTATGTTATATCAGGGTAATGTGGGTGTCCTGTATACCCAACCAGACAATGGATAATTAGATATTATTATGGGCCTCTCAGTGGCTTCAGAATTTCAGGAATTACTATTTTACCGTATTCTTGAAGATTGGAGAGCTGTTGCATCTCTATAGTGTAGTTTTTATTTCCACTGTTAGGTGTTTGAGCTTTGTTCAGTATGTTATACTGTTTGTAGTGGACATCTTGACCACTGATGGATGAACTAGTTTTGGTTTTTTTAATTCAATAAAATGTTTCATTATAAAACAGAGACAAAACTCAAAAGTGTGCATGTGCTAGTCTATTGATGGGTCTGTTGACGACCATGCAAGAGAATAGAAACAGTCTCTTCTCACAAAGAATAAGAATCTTAAAAATGCCTCCTTTTATGGTTGGCTGACTCAGGCTACTGTTTGAAAATGTTTTTGGACCAGGACTCTGGTTTCCCATGCTTTAAAGGTGGTACACGGACAATACAGAACCTACGGAAACGATTTCACCTGAGTTTGACAGAAGAGGTTTGATTTTGTTTTCTTGTTTTGTTCTTGAACTGTATTATGTTTCATTGCTATGGTTGTAACAGTGTTGCTTGATGTTTTCCATCAGCAATGTGTGTCCTTGGTGCTTTCTTTGATCAGCAGCAGCTTGGATGCATGGCGAACAAGACAGTATGATTATTATCAGAGGGTTTTGAATGGAATATTGTGAGGTTAGAATTCATTGATAATCACATGGTTTTGTTTGGAAAAGCCAGCTCAGTGAGTGTTGGTCAAAAAGTGCATACGCGAGCTGGCTGTGTTTTCCTCGGAGGTGAAAAAGGGGATTGTTTATAGTGGTTTTGGCCTGTTTTTTCTGGGTGAGGAATTTGTAATTGTATCGGCAAAAATACATATTCTGCATCTAGAAGGCTAAAATTAATTCAGAAGGGTATATTCATTGTTCCCCTTGTTTCATGTAATATGAGACTCTGCTGGCTGGTGGGAATTCACTTATTCTTGTGGGAACGTTCGACCCTACGGACCCTCCTCCCGTTCGTTGGACTCTTCATACTGTACAGAGTGATTGCAATTGAGGACAGAGTAGAAATCCAGTGGCTATGACAGCCATATTTACTACTGAGTGCCATTGCAACGTATTTTACACTGGTTTGTGATCCGGATGAGCCAGCATTATTCGTTTTGTGAATCTTCCATTTTCAAAGTGTGGTCGGGTTTCAATCTCCGTGACTTGGCTCAGCTGGGTGGCATCTATACATGAGTCTGATTTTTCCATATTCTTGTATCAGAAAGCTTTGTTAGCAAAATGCTTGAGAATCTTCTGTATGCGATTGTATCATGTGTAACTGATCCCATTTACATAGTGAAATCTGTAGATTCCATTTTCATCATATTAATGGAGTTTTCGTGGCATTGAAGTTTGCCTGCAGTTTGTGTATCGTTGGATCGAACGTATTGGTAGCTTTGTGACAGCTCAACGTGTCTATTAAGTTTACCTCAGGCATGCAAGGTTAAAGGAAGCTATTTGGATTTAGCCTCATAGGGGCTGAACGCAAAGCATTCAGATGGGTGTTAAGGAAAAAAACCAAGTTATGAAAAAAGAAAAGGGAAGATAAATTATACTCGGTTTTTATGGTGTGGTGTGGACTTACACGTATAATTATTTAGTAAATTAGAAGGCCAACAACACAAGTTCATTTGGTTTGGTTGAATGCAAAGACAATTTGTATATGTACCAAGTAGCCTTTGGTATGTTGGTAGGTGTTAACTTGATTTTATTGCGGGTATGTTTACATCCTATCGATTTTTTTTTATTTTTTTATTTTGGACGAAATGTTTACATCCAATCGATTGTTATAAAATTTTTTTAATTTTTTTTATAAAAAAAAGGAAATAAAGAAGAAGACATTTGTACTGTGAGGTGTCACGTTCCCAAGCCATAGTTACCATGTCTTGACATTTGTCAATTCCTCACTCTCTTATACATAAGGATGGACCGCTATCACCATTACCATCACCACATATCTAAACCCTAATTACTTTTAATAAAGAGTTATTTACACTAAAATTCCTTGAAGTTTTATGTTTTTTTTTAACAAGCTCCTTGAGATTTCATAAATTACACGAACATCTCTTGAGGTTTTAAATTGTTTTATAAAATCCTTTCGTTGATTTTTTGTCCAAAGATTGATGATTTTATATATAAAAAATGGTGATGATTTTCTCACTCCCTTTTTTGTTCACTTACACTCCTTTTTGCTTTTTAATACTTTTTATTATAACATATAAGGAAGTATAAGTGGATAAAAGAGAAGTGGGAAAATCAGCCCCAAAAAAAATATTATCTAAATGACAAAGTTAGCCTTTGAGATTAGATTACACATACATTCATAGAGGTTAATTTGTCATTTGCATATGTTTTTTTTTATATATGAAATCATCAATTTTTGGACAGACACTTTTGTGAAAATAATTTAAAATCTCAGAGAATATTCGTGTAATTTATGAAATCTCAATAAATTTTGTGAAAACACTAAAAAACTCATGAGTTTTAGTGTAATTAACTCTTTAATAAAAGCACAACTATTGCAATATAGCTAGAAAAGTTTAAGTGGGACAACTAATTAATGTGTCTAAATTAATTATTAAAAAAAAGAATATTATACTTGACTAATTTCCAATAAACCACAATTTATTATCATGAAAATAAACTACTATAAAGTAAATCTTTTAAATTACAAAGCGTTTTAGAAAACACATTAGCTAGTTATCTAAAGATAAAAAAGTTCTACTAATAAATGTTTAATCTAAAGAGAGGAAGTTGGATGGACGGTAATTAAACAGTAATTCAGAAAAAAAAAATTAATTATTAATTTGGGCAGTAGAAGCGGAATATAAGATATATAGAAATGAAGAAGACAAGAGAATTAGAGCAACAGTAGTTACTAATAACAGCATAATCTCTAACAACAGACCTAATTAATATATAATTGGATCGAATTAGGCAGCCTTCATATCATAAGCACTTATAGAAGTAATATATATTGAAACACTGGCCAAATTAATGTCACCAAAAGCAGCAGCCCCAAGTTATAGAGATGACGTGGAGCAGGTGAGTAATATGCATATGCATCTGTTTGGTACTGATACACATCCCCTGGCAGACCTGTCACGTAAACAAACCTTGGAGGAGGTGGCGGTACATATGGGTTTGGCGTGACATATGGGTTTGGCTGGCAATCTTGAGTTGTTGTTGTTGGAGCCTTTGGAGGAGGAGGAGGAGGACAAGGAGGCGGCGGTGGCGGAGGTGGAAGCACCTGCTGCTGCTCACATGGGTTCACACAAGGGCATGATCCGCATTTTATTCCCGTATCAACTTCTTGCTTGTGAGATACCAGTGTTTGTTGATGATGATCATTTTGGTTTTCATGATCAGAAGTGGTCATGACACTGTTTGAAGACCAAATCAAAAGCATGATCAAAACAAGTGTTTGATGTGGATGCAATGCCATTAACTTCCGGAAATATTGAGTGAAAATACAGCTGGGGTCTGAGAGAGAGAGAGAGAGAGAGAGAGAGTACTGGGTGGGGAAAGGAATGTAAGGGCTGGAGTTTGAGAGAGAGAGAGAGAGAGAGAGAGAGAGAGGGAGAGAGTAGTGGTGGAGAAAGGAATGTGTATGAATTTGTTTAGGGGTACTTGTGTATGTTGTGCTTGTGGCTTACGTTTGTTTTATTTGATTGGGCTTCGAACCTCTGCTCATATAAGTGGAAGTGAAAGAGCTCAACTGACTGAGTTATACCTAACATGGGTGCTTGTGGCTTACGTTTAGTTGCATGAAAGGGTATAAAGAGAGAGGTCATGCGGTTAGGTAATTTTAGTTATTTCGGGGAACACATAGTTGGAAGGAAGAGAGGGACTTCATATTGTGAGCCGCTTTAGATGTTGTGTTGAAATGTTTTGAAAGCGAATTGCATGTGGATGTTGTAAATGCATGAGGTGACTTTATTTATTATGTCAACAACTACCTTTTCAATCATTCACATACATAATTTAATTTAATTTAAACAAATGGATTAATTAGCAAGTGTTTCCAATCATTAGCTCTACAATTAATTAAATATGGGTACATAATTAATTTAATGAATTAATTAACAAATCCAAGTAACTTAATTAGCATGCTCTGCTTAAAGGGGACATTCAAATTAACTTACTTTAGGGATTTGTCAAGCATATTGATAATTAAGATTGCTTTATATATCTCTCCAGCAAGAATGCTTCCATGCCCTTCGAATAAAGTCTCCGGCTGGCAATGGCATTATTCTTCCACTTTTGCCACTCTCAACAATTTAACCTATTATTATATGGACATTGTTTTTTGAACTGTTTTTACCGACCACTTTACTGACTCCCTCTCTAATACAAATGAGTCTCGCATGCACTAGTGGACCCACCTCTATTAGAGAGGTGGTCAATAAAAGTGGTACAAATAGCATTATTGTTATTATATATAATGTTTCACAATATATGTTCCGTCTGCCAAAAAGTTTGTAGTGAAGTTTTGATCAAGATCGCATTCCAATATGCTAAGCATTGAAAGTGGATTCCAAAAGAAGCACTCTCAGGCTATGGTTACAGTTCATTAACAAAGAATGGAATCATATGCCCTGGCAAAAGATCGATTAAAAAGACAATGCCTCTAGCTTTTTTGTTTCTTTTTAAGCAGTGCAGAATTGAAAGAAAAGTAGAATTCTTTTTACCAGGATGAAAACTAGATGACCGTCACATGTCTAGGACAGCCAAACACTTTCAGTTTTCAAAGGCTAGAGTTTTATGCATTTCATCACCATTAACACCAAACAAATTGTAAAGTATATTTGAATGGCAAAGGGTATAAATGAGGAGTGCTAAAAGTACAGGCCGGAATCTTCAACTGTAGATGTCACACTATAATAAAAGTGTGGTGGTCGACGTCTTTCCTCCTCCCTCCCCTGCGCCGGCTAGGGTAAAAGGGGGAGATCTAAAATTAGAGGTAGGCAGCTTCAAGTGTAGACCATTTGTTCACATGCTACTCATGTGCCAGTCAGTTGTTCTATTAAGGAGTTAGTCAATTGTTAAGGGGGTTGCTTAGTTCTTAAGCAATGCAGTTATCTGTGTTAGCTTTAGTCTTCTGAGTATATATACTCAATCTATCTAGTAATTCAGATTATTCTTATAAGCAATGTAGTGATCAACCTCTTGTATATAGGATTCAAGAATTCTTAACCTACTTGAAGACTAAGAGAGAATTCTAAATATATAGTTGATCAATTGGTACAACCACAATATGTCAAGTTCCCATTTAATTAGTTAATTATTTAAGGGAGCTGATTTTTCCCCTCCTCTTTTCTCTACTTACACTCCTTTTTACTTTTTAATATTTTTTAATAAATTTTGTTCTTTCTCTTTCCTATTCTACGGTTACTCTACATTAATTTCTTTTTACTTCACTTTTTTTTTTTTCATTGTCTTTTCTTCGAGCTTTATTAGCTAGCAATGTAATGCACTAATTGAGTAAGAAATAATTAACACTATATATTTGACAAGACCCGACCCAAATTCCACTTTGGATTCTGTGTCGAACCCTGTGCGTGTCCAACACTTGGAAAGTGCTGGGCACACTTGACTAAATTGCCCTTTAAACTAAAACTCAAACATTCTGTTCATGTTTGACTTTTGCCTAAAAATTGGCAGAGTCTCCCCTCGAAATTGCTCGTTTCCCAAAATTTACACATGTACAAAATGCAATTCATATATCCATAAGCGTTCAACATGCACAATGTTAGAGCACACACAATTCAACAGCAAGTCTGTGTGGCCTTAGGCCTTATAGAAATCCTAGGGCAATATCAGAGCCTACTAATTAATTTAATTTACAAAAATAGTACGGTTACAGTAGAATATCCTACATAATGGAAGTAGATGAGTGGTGGGTGATGAATGTCTGGTGGTGGTGCTCCGATACTCGATTATTGCCCGGGGGCGCAAAACATTAAAAGCTTGAGTGGACAAAAGAAAGTTTTGCAAAATATATCAACATACTAACCCCCACTGTTAAAACCATTTGAAAATTCATTGAATCCATGTTCTATATTCGTACAAAAATCAAGCATGCATATTTATATTCATATAACCGTTCATGCATTCCATCAATTCATCAAAACCATTTGAAAGCATTGAAAATAATAATTCCTTTTTACCTAGGTGTACCCTTTATAAATCCGTCAATTCCATGATTTTTCTATTTATTTCCCACATTATACCGTCAATTCTAAGTGTCACCTAAGTGACACCTCGTCACAAAACTCGGAAAGACAAAGTTAACCTAATCCGCATTCCTCACACAACTCAGGAGACACTTGGTCAACCTAAGCCGTATTCCTTGCTTCTCA